GTTCGCTGTTCGCTACGTTTAAAAAGCGTTACCGCTGTCTCTCAGGTCATCCAGGCAGCTTGTCAGAGCTGGCATTCCTTCCTCATGATGCTCCCTCTCGTCTTATCATTCTCAAACCCCATCAAACAGCAATCGATTAGTCTCAGTCCTCTGCCACCGAATCCGATACTTTCCCAAGGATCAAACAGCCCACGATCGCCAGGACAAGCAGGGAGAGGGTGCGTGTGGTGTGTGTGTGTGTGTGTGGGGGGGGGGGGGGGGGGGGGGGGAGAGGGGGGGAATAAAACAAACTGGGCGCGCAAAAGTCATCTGCACCCAGTGAAATAAAAATCACATTTTCTCCCCTTGATTGTGGCGAGTGATTTATCGTCTGATTGCACTCTGTTCTGGGGGGTGTTGGAAAGGCGTGGTGCTTGAAACCTTGCACATCTGTGTTCTGCTACACGTGACGCTGCTCCACAATCTATAACATCTGCTTGAGCGCCCTCAGGTACATCATGGCTCACAGATATTTGTTATGGTTTTGAAATAACCTTTTCTTATTTGCTCCCTTTGATTTGGGTTTGCCCATGTGCTCGATACCCAGGATGCGATCAAAATAAAGTAATTGTTAGTTATTGCATCGGACAAACCATCCATTCAAAAAAAATCTAACAATAAGAAAGCACCCAAAGGAACGAATTATATAAGTAAAATGGCGTGAATGTGTTTTTTTGTATTTAATAAATATTTTATTTAAAAAACACAGACCGTTTTTCTTCCGAAATTAAAGAGTTTCAGGCTGTTAGAAATAAAGACGTGAAAGGTGTATGAAGTAAAATTAATGGCACCGGCAATAGGTTTGATTGTGTTTATACAGTAATATTCAGTTTCATCTGCCCAGTGAAGGATCGCCAGATCCATCCTAAACAGTCTGTCGTATGCTCTTCATTACCCCAACACAAGCCTCGGGCACACATATGGGCAAAGTGCAAGAGGTTACCAAATACTGTATGAGTATTAGGGTGGTGATTCCATTCTTCATTTGCTTAAAAAGGTTCCGAAAAGTTATTTCAGCTCACACTGTCTCGGCGGCCACATTTATTTATCCCTTTGGAATTTGCAAAGCAATAGCGTCGGATAACATGCCCATCCAAATACAATCCTAGAGTATATATTTATTTGTTGAACACTTACAAGATCGTGCTGTAGATCAATGTAACCTCCACACACTGGGGGAGGGGACACCTTTATAACATTGTGCTGTAAACCGTGGTTTGTGGAGATTACTTTAAACGGTCGTATTTGAGGCTGATCTGTGCTATTTATGCTCCCACCAATTTTATGGGCATCTGGGAATTCCAAGCATAACTTCAAATTTCAATTACACACCTTCTTCAAAGGGACGCATGTTTCAAATGAATATTTATTAGATGCAACATTACAAGTAGGTAGTACTATTTTTACATAATTAACAGTGGAAGGAAAGTAACCATGGTGTGTGTGTGTGTGTGAGAGAGAGAGAGAGAGTATGGGGGTGGGAAAGTTACTATTTAATTAAGAAGAGGGGTCCCGGTGGCTCTAGTTGTTTACACTCACCCCAGGTGAACAGTTTTTCTCTAGAGTAGGCGCTATCTCGATTTCTATAACTTGTGTCCCCTTTTCGCCCTGTTGTCTTAAAATTGAAATTACATATGGGGGAGAAAGAGAGAAAAGTCTTACATCATTTATTGGGACGAACGTTCACTTTGAAGGATTCCTGGGCAGTACTTCAAGTGAATCATGTGCTTTGAAAGAATTTGATACTGTACAGGGTCAAAATATCTGCCAGAACCGAGGGCTTGCAGAGCACTGCACTGTTCTAAACCCCATCCAACCCTGTTTTTAACAGCTGCCATACCTAAGAATTTACGATTTTTTCTCTCTCTGAAACCGGTGGAGGTTTTTTTTTAGAAAGATAATTTCATTTATCCCTTTGGAATTTGCAAAGCAATCTTTTGGAAACGGTGTTACTGAATTGAACGCGTTGTGTCACCACAATTAGCAGTATTCTAAGATCAGTAACAAAACGCCCTGTAATTTCCCAGCAGAAAGGTCGACCTGGGTCCGTGGAGGCACATCGGTGGTTGTGTAGCGGAGATCCAGCGTTATTATTGTTTTCAATGATTCTGGCTTGATGACTTTTGGCGGTGATGCAAGTTAACACTGGGGTCGTAAGAAACTCCCCTTCCCCATATTGCAAAATGTCAACATTTATTTCCGGGTTGAAGTTGATATTTGTGTCGTTTTAAAATAAAAGAGACCCCCCCCCCCCACCCCCCACCAATTCGTTTAATGAAATGGAAGGGGCTGCACAGTAACACAGGTTACTCTGAAGTGGAATCGCTATCTGAACAGTTGGTGGGTTAGAAACAGACTGTGCCATTTTACTGCTGGGATCAGACAGATCGTAGTTCCTTCTGACAATGCGAACAAACTGCCCCACACGGTATTATTTTTTTGAAGGCAATTTAAAATGACCGAGAAAGGCGTTGTGTAAATACCGTATTTATTTACAGAGCTCTATTGGATGCCTTCACGGATATGAAGCATTTTAGAAGGTTGTGTTCAATCGCGTTCAATAAAAAAAATGGTCAATGTTGCTTTTAAATAAAAGGGTTTAAACCCACGAATGCCGGTGAATAGACTGGTGGGGTCCATATGCTGCATTGTTGTTTAAACCACTACATAACCCTTTTAAATGCAAATCAAGGTTTAATCACGCCTTTCTGTGCAAAGCTTTCCTTAACCATAGGCTCTGCTCTCGGGATAACCATTCTCAGAACAAAACAACCACTGGGTTTTAAAGTGGCATTGCACCTTTCCTTTACCGTTATATTTTTTCATTCTGTTCATCCCCACAATGCTGTTTTTTTAGGGGCACCGCTGCGATCATAACACACAAAGAAAACAAGAGTGCACAATCCTGACTGAAGTGAACCCTGCTGCACAGGGGCCCAGGACATGAATGATAAAGTGGCCTTTCCCTGTGAACCCCAGTACTGTACCCCCCGCGCACACTGTGCCAGGTCCCCTGTGCTGCGCGATCACCGGTTGTGCACATTTTCACAGCAATAAAATCTTGCAATTTCAATATCATTTTTTTAAAAAGGAAAACTGGGAAAATGCCCCTTTCCCCGAATCCAACAGTTATAACGTGCATTAAGGTTCAACCGACTGTAGAGTTGAACCAGATCCCTTTCAGCTAATGTATACTAAACCCCCACCCACCCCACACACACACACACACACCACCACCCCCACCCGGATAACTTTTTTGTAATGTTAGTGCAGCAAATACTGCACAAGCGACATAAGCGACAGAGGTGACAGAAATTTAGTGAAGGGGTTATGTTTTGGGCAGGTTTTGAAACTCAGCCTTTGGGCCTACAGACGTGGATAAGTGCAGCTTTAAAAGTGTGACGGAATGTAGATCTGTGGACAGCTCTTTGATGTGTGATGAAATGTCAAAGACAGACCAACAGCAATTGATGCCGAAGCCATACAAAATCGAGCCGTGGAACTCACATTCTCAGGATCGACAAGAATGTGGGAATTACTGTATCCACAATAACTCAAACCCACCACTTTAATCTCGACTGATCCTCGTGGATTGCCTTTTATTTTTACACAGATATACTTTATCGTATAGATTATATATCTGTTACATTTAACTTCGAACTATTTAAACGTTGTTCAATCAAGATTAAACCACGAAATAGACTGGAAAAAAATAACACTCAAAACAGGCAGTTGCAGGAATTCAGCAAACGATGAAGAAAGGATACAGTAGAAGTGAAATGTGTTTATACACAAAAAAACATTTGGTCACTGTTGTGGAGGGCCTTTGTTTGAGATGTCATTTGAGGCAGTCAAAGCATATTTTTGTAACGGGATAAATCAAGTAAGATAGCATTTAGCGCGAGAAAGACGTTATAAGACATTTCAGTCTTTCTCTTAAGAGCGACAGACTTGTTTGTTGTAAAAACAGAGGACTGCAGAGAAGCAGCAAGTACCCTCGCCGGCTCCAACAGCCACCCTTCTCTCAACTGGTAAGTGTGAGAAGAACTTCGTATGTTAAGTCGAACATAACAACGTTTTAATGTTAACCATCGGCTTTGCACGGAATTCTCTTCCAACGTGCGAGCAGCACATTTGCGTGGGGAGGCTTTCAAATTACAAGAGAAACCCGCTTCGCATCTTAATTCTGTGATACGAAAGTAAATCAAAAGGAACAATAAGAAAACACATTTCACGTGGAGGAACCATAACCTCATAAAACATCTAATAGTTCGCAGCAAAACAGCGTGGACACTGGGTTTAGTTTGTTTTGCTTTCTGACGGTGTTTTTTTTTATAAAATAACGGTTTGTACATTTCATTTCAAAACAACTATTCGATTGTATATGAAACGATGTATTATTCCCAAATAATTCATAATACTTCAATGCTGAGCCTGATCCATTTTCAGAGAAGCTATGATATCACATACGTGACGGTTTGTCTTTTATAACACACAGTGCTATGTGCGGATATCTATCTGGACTTTTCTCCTTAACAAATATCCCACTGAGCACACGAGCGCGCTCTTTTATATCAAATGCCTGCAAAGATACGATCATTTAAGTTTCCCTTTCAAAGCTCATAGGCATTTGCAGAGAGAACATTAAGATGAACCCCAGATATTGAAAGCAATAGGTACAAGTACTATGCTTGCTATGTCCCTTCTCTTTAGCTAAAGCCGTGTAAAAGGTCAGTGACTGCATTGAAGCATTCTCTCTCCAGCTAACACGTCAAATTGTCTGTCAGTAGCCGCTCTATTTGCCTTTTTCTGCACCGTTTATTTGTGTTAGATTCCACTCTCTCTTGGGTGTCGTTACAACCTACTACAACACCAGCTATTCATCATCGAATTTATCCCCCAAGTAGGAACAACCCCCACCCCCCCATAAAATAATAATAGCATATGTATATAACCGTGGCTTTAAAGTTCAGATCATATGTATTTATTGCAGAAAAATATACAAAGACATTTACAAAACAATCACAAAAATATGTGTGCATTTAGACACCAGATCTATATGCATTAAGACATGGCACATCAATAAATAAATAAATGTCTCTCGAGAGAAGAGAAACTAACCAACTGGATTTTGTATAACAGTTTGGTCCTTTTTTTTAATAAATGCATTGTCATTTAGAACTGTTCACCGAAGTGGTTTTGGGGAAGAATAGAAAATAATCGAACTTTCCTGCGTCCTCAATAGCAGATATAGACATGATTGTTGAAGGCATGCATAGTAAAGGAAGGAATGAGTTCCAACAACATTCGTCGTCAAGATAATATGTTGCATAAGGCAAAATACACCTCAGAAAGATGTACAATGATTGTATAGCCGCACAATTGGATGATCAACGGTCCATGACTCGCTTTCTGTAAGTGCTCCCCCCACGCCCTCTCCAATAGTTTTTTGTGTGTTTTTTTTCGAAAAAAAATCTTTTCTTTCATTATCCATCAATGGCAAGGATCAAGTTGTGTAAGTATCCAGACGTCAGACTCTGCTGTTTGTCCACTCGCTGTCTCTTTGTGGTAAATCTTTTTCACCTAGGAAAACAGCAACAGATTACACTGAGATTAGCCAGCCAAAGAAAGGATGGCTGCGTTTTTGGCACCTCTGTTTATCAGTAGGGGGGAAAGCCTTAAAATAAAGTTTGGGATCCTGCAGTTGAGAATTTTGCCACTTTTCCACCTACTGCACATATTTAGTGGATTGGAATGGCTCAATTGGCAATAGCTTTAGAGAAGGGCTGGAAAGTAAAAGTTGTCGAATTAAGTATAGGCAAAGATCCTATGTGTTATTAGCTTTCGACGTTACTGACAGGAAGTCAGGAGAATATTTAATCTCTGGAAGATGGGGTTTCAAGTACAACAGGAAGGTAGTTTAGGGGGAAAAAAAGCCAATAAAGCATAAAGAAACATACTTGGGGAAATAAATAAAGAAGCGAGGAAATATACTAGAATTAATATCGCGGTATAAGTGGGAGACATTCTATCCACATTACGAGGAAACGATCTGCGTTGAAACATTTTGAAAACAATACATTTGGGATTTTAATATCCTGCTGAATTCTCGTTCTGATGGATATGAAATTGATTTGGATACATATGCAACAAAACTGTGCTTTCTCTCTGCTCTGGGTTTGATAAGTGTACATTTTCCAGCCGTGACCTTTATAGTGAATATTTCAGAAAAGTTGTCACATACCTTTTTTGTCTGATTGATATCTGCTAGTGCGAGGCGGACATGGACCAGGCGCCCTCCATCCTCCACACTGAGAACGCGTAACTGAGTCTCTCGTGTGCCACATAACTGCAGCTCGACATTTTGTTGTCCAACTCGTCGCTTTGTAAGACCTGGTAAAGAAAGTCAATGTACCTAGACGCAAGCTTCAGGGTCTGAATTTTGCTCAGTTTATCTGATGGGAGGGTTGGGATGATTTTCCGCAAGGCAGCGAAGGCTTCGTTGAGGGATTGAGTTCTCTGACGCTCCCTTACATTGGCCATGACCCTCTGGGTTTGCAGTTCTTCAAAGGACTGAGGGCTCCCATCTGACTTCTTTCCCTTTTTCCCTGACGCTGGGCTGTCTGTTTCCTCTCCCGATTTCCTGCTTGGTCGCCTCTTTCTGGTACATCTCTTCTGCTGCCGGTCCACTTCGTCTTCACTGTTGCTCATGCTCTCTACTAGAGAGGCTGGGGAGTTTTCTTCATCCTGCATGATTGCTTCTAACATCGGCTTCAACAATGACAGACTGATAGCAATCGAGTTATCCAAACGGAAGACAGAATCGCTCCGCGATTACAGAAATCAATTTAATGCAACAAATTGTCAAAGGGAGCCCAGGCTTATCCCAACGGTAATCTGTAAGCAACTTTTCTGAGTTGCTGGAAAGTTTGAGAGGGGTAATATAGCTCTGGATGCCTGGATCTTTTGGAAGATTCAGCCTATTGGCTAATATAAATTTTCATCACCAAACTAGGTGGAGTCTTGTTGCAAAGGCCATCAGCAACGGGTCTGCTGCAGAAAAGCATTTTAAACACAGGCGTTCAGTCATGCCAACTTTTCGCACACAATTTAATTTCAAAGCAAATAATATGCGATGTTTCGAAAGGCAATTTTAAGGAATGCTTGTTTATCGGACACAGCTATTCTACCACGGCACTGTATCCCATAGCGATTCTATTGCTGCTATAGATTGCTTTCATCTAGGCCTGTTAAATTGTAGAGTTCGTGACATGTTACGCTGTTTTCATAAAACTTTTACATAAAATATATGGGACGGGAAGCTGTCTGCGGCAAAGATGCTGAGCTTACTTCAAAGGACGACTTGTGTTTAGGGTAGATTTATCCACAAGCAGAGGTCACTGAATGAAAATAAACTGCCCTGCAGATAAATCATAAAACGTATGACGTTGTATGCAACATTAAACCAACTCAAGACTCTTGCGAGATGACTTTCTCTCTTTCATCTTCAGAATGAGGGTCGTCTTTAATAGGGCAATATTAAGCTCCCTCCTTTCTCCACACACTGCATTTTGGTTTCAAATAGATATCAATTAATTTCTGTGGGGTGAAGACAAACGTATCGTGCACTTCACTTGAATTATTGTTTTTAGACGTGTTGTCCATAGAGGATTTCTTATATGTTCTTCTTTGCTTTGAGTAATACTGTACATTATCTTGCCTTTCAAAAAGCACATATACTCCTCATTCCTATAGCAAAGTGCAATCTACACTCAGAAGTCTACGCTTGATCTGCCTAAGGGTTTACAATCTGTGTCATTGATTTGGTTAATGTTTCTGCAAAATCCTTATGTACTGAATAAACAATAAAAACAATTAATATTATATTTCAAATATTAAAACGCAAAAAAATCCACAGGAAATACCGTAATGGTGTTTTGTCACTGTTATATTTCAGTAAGAATGAATAATTGGCCAACGGAATTAATTCATTCAATAATTAAATCAGGAAGACAGGAATAGCTAGCAGCGAAACTGAAACAAACAGAGAAAAGGGACACAGAGACAAAATCACACAGAGACAGGACGACTGAAGTTTTAAAAGCTAAGACCGCAAGGTTTAGAAAATCCAGAATATTCTTCATGCAAAATATTCCATAAACCGCACCTTAAACGCAATTTAAGCGCGCGATGCTGCTATATGATGTATAAGCTATGTGTTATTTAGTTGCTGCACAGAAGAAGATGACCCCCACCCCCTCCCCCCCTCGGCTACATACATTAAGTTTGTTGCTTCAGAGAGATTGGGAGTCCTGCTGTACAGCCCCAGACACAGCAGGCTCCCAGAGCAACAGTCAAACTGTGAGGCCGAAATGCAACATAAACATCACCTGGCGAGAGAAAAAGAAGAAAAAGCCTCCAAGAAAAGCACATTAAACGGTTTAATGTAAACGGATGCTGTTGAAAGTTGTCTATGTGGTACGCCATTAATCTTGACCACTATTTCTCAATGATCGCTGGTAATTGTTCACCAAGGCATTGACCTTCTCATATGTAGCAGTTTCGTTTTAATCACGTAGCTAAGGCGAAACCTAAAAGGGTCTAATAAAAGTATATGAGAGAAATGCATCTCTATACAAATAGACACTGATATGGAATATAAATGTACAATACATATGTTATATCTAATGCTTGCGCCGGGTTAAGTATACATCTATTAATCTGCAGATAAATAGTTTATTCCAAATTCCCGAAGGCATTGTTCGTATACAGTATTTCTCGTTTGATTTGGGAAATAATTAATTGTACTTCATAACTTTTAATATCCGTATAAAGGTTAACCACTCTTTTGTTTTCTGTCTGCTTCAGATAAGTCACATATGTGTTTACCATTTACACTTCGGCAGCTCAGGCTGTCAGTGCATTTCATGCTTTATTGCAGATATGCGGGACATGTAACTTTTTCCTGGCAATGACTACCTGAAAATCGAGTGGCTGTAGTGACTAACGAACAGTTCCGCTTTTAAATAATCCGGGACTTCGTCACCATCCGCAAATGAGGCCGTTTCAGTATCTGTCCATCATGACTTCTCTTAAGCTGTTGCAATAGCTTTTGCAACAGTTTGAAGTCGTGCATTCCAGTGGTTGTAAGGCGAGTGTTTTGCTCTGACTCGCACAGGCACAGGCGAGGTGTAGACGACAGAGGGTGCAATTCCCTTGCAAAAGCCCAGCCCCATCGCCAGGGTGAGCCAACAGCGGGATGAAAGCACAAAGTACAGCACTAAACTTGTGAAGGAAGGGATATTTCCTCCACAAACGAAAAAAAACGAGAAGGGAGCGAATGAATAACGTGGGGAGCACCGAGCGTATGGAAACCGAAGAAAGCAGATAGGGTCGCCACAAGGAATAAAGAGAAATTCAATATGATCTTGTGCCAATTTACATAGCCATTGCTGCTACACTCATGATATCGTGTTCAACAAATAATGCCACGAGTATGAGTGAAGTTATTGGGCCCTGTCGCACTTGCTGTCACAATAACAGGATGCTAAGTGCAAATAATAAACCTTTGCATTTGATACAGCGGCGCCTTTCACGTCAGGAGGATATCTCAGAGCGCTTCACACTATGTACTGTAAAGTGGAGTGACTGTACCTGTGGAGGCAAATTGGACTTGAAACGCAAACGAAGAAGCGGAATAACGTTTTATGACATTTGATGGTGTGTTTGGAGGTGAGTTAACCAGACAACACAAACCAGGTTTATTGTTGAGCGAGTGATGTCTCAGCTCAACCACTGATCTCTCTGCGAGACGCGCACTTGGCGTCTGATCTTTCACGGCATCACTACACGTCCAATTTATCCGTGGAACTAATAAAAACACAAACTGTTTTGAGTGCAGGCGATCGATGTAGATCGTGTATTAAAAAATGGTTGAGGGTTGTTCTTTCGCTATAAGGCTCTGAATTGCGATTTTGCTGTCGACCCATCCAAGCATTGATATTTATTTATTGATTGATTTGACGGCGGCTCATTGCCTCTGGCAACTCCAAGTGGACATCAAACCCCTCTTCCTTCTCTTGCTCTTGGTGCCGCTGACTCCTAACCTGGAGGAGGGCACCGCCACATATTTGTCGAAAAGATAAATATAATGGGGCAGCCGCAAGTGGCAACATAAAGGAAGCAACGGAACAGTCGCTCGCTTGACTGAACACATAATACTACTGTGCACTTATTAGGTAAAACAAAACCGGCTTTTAATACTGGAATGCATTGCTGTACCAGGCCGTTTCCCCAGTACAATTGCATGCAAAGGCTACAATAAGCGTTAAATATTTCTTATAATGCAGTGACATGGATCAAACAATACACTAAAATCCAATTATTTCGATTGATGACCATGATTTGCAATCCATCACAGAGAGTGGGGGCTGGAGGGTGGGTGGGTGGGTGGAGAGATCCTGGATGTTTTCCTGTCTGCCGGTTGTCCCAATAAATGACCCAAACTGCGCTTCAACGTTGCCCTGAAAGGTCACTGACAATTGGAATGAGGTTTCGGTATCAGCATTAGGGGGCGCTCTGCTGAGACCAAAGTCGTGTTGATACTAATACCTCCTGAGAGCTGAATGCTCGCACAAATAGGCGAAAAATGTTCCATTACCCAGCACTGTCCTTCCGCAATTTCCTGAACACATTCTACATGCCAGACTCGCAACACAATATATTCTATGAATCGGTAGCAGATCATGCAATGCCAGTGCGAAATATATTTTAATATATTTTGACCTGGCTTATGCACACTTTAATCATTATTTGTAACAGAAATCAAGAGGACAATAATAATAACAAAAATAATAATTTATTAAACAATTACAAGAGATGTATTCAGTATTTTCCCAAGAGCAAGGTGCTGTGACATTATTATACATTTCATAGCTTGGCTCCTTTTGGGTGTGTTAGCTTGGGTTAGTTAATACTCTGGCCTCTGGGTCACAAGTTGTGTCTGTCTTCAAGATCCACTTTAGAATCCCACATAATATAGTCTGGGTTGCCAATCCAATGGTGCACTGCATTGATAGAGGTGCCATCCTTCAGATGAGATAATAAACCAAAGTCCTGTCTGCTTATTCAGCTGGCCATTAAATATCCTGTGGCACTATTTGAAAAGAGTAGGGAATTTTTTCGAGAGTCAAATAAAGTTGGTCATTTACTTCACGGCTGTTTGTGGGACATTGCTGTGTACAAATTGTCTGCCATGTTTGGCTACAAAATATACAGTCACTGCATTTTACTGCATATCCTGTTTTTGAGATGTCCTTCTAATGTGAAAGGTCTTATATCAAATTAAATATTATTATTTTAATATCTAGGTCCAGGCAATTTGCTAAATTTTCTCTTTTCCACTCATGCTGCAGTGAAAGTGTTTAGTCTCTTCATTGGTGTGTAAGTATTTTAAAAGCCAATGTGTCAGAGAGCAGATGTTCATGGTTTTTCAAGTAGGAAATAGGTGGTGTAAAAATGGATGCTTAATATCAGCCGTGATACGATAATTATCACATTGAATCTGTTAAAGACTGGCAGAGAATCAATAATTTTCAACTGGTTTCCGGCTTGAATCCTTTTCCTACCACTGTTTGGTCAACAATCTATTTTCAAAACTGTTTAGCCACCATCTTGGATACCCACTGCATTTAGCAGGCCAAGAATACTTTGTATTGGCCCTGGAGGCAGCATTTCAGTGCTGCTTTACAGGATGCTGGTTGAGTTAAATTGGAATCCTATTTTTAACTGCACAAAAATGCTGCTCTCTGCAATCTGGAGCAAAGTAGATTTTGGACCAAAACAATAAGGCAATGGGATGGGCAGGGGTGTTCATACTCAAAGCCAATTGATAATT